TCTCGCGATGCTTGATCTCTTTCCCCTGGAGTACCGTCGCCTCCGAGGGGACGTAATTCTTACTTACGCCCTGTTTGAACAAAGCTTGGCAAACAGGCATTTTACCGTTGACCCAGCAAACACCCGGCGAAGACATAGTAAGAAAATTTTCAAGCTCAGGGCTCACACATTCATATTTACTAAGCCTCACAGAAAAAGCTGGCCTGAAAGTGGATGTCAGTTTAGAGACACAAGAGCAAAATTCATTCTTGAGGACGATGAATAAAAGTGTCGATGTTTTTATAACATTTTTGTCACTAACATAAAATAATTAGACAAAGCCGGAGCCATAATTAACCACTGTTGTGAGATCAACCTACAGATTAGTCCAAATTTTTTCAATATCATTTACCGAAAGTAATCGCGCTAGTATCATGATTACTTTGTACGCCACTGCCGTTGGTGAGATCGTCTAACATACACGAGCCATCAAAAAACCTTGTGTGTAATTGTAATCCTGACTATGTTAATGTTGTATTAATTTAGTTGTCATCACTGGGAAAAGTGTGGGACCACTTAGGAAATCATTGTTGGCACAAGTTTCAGCTAAGGATAGGTAAATTCATAGTTGGGAAATGCTTCGCTTTGAATGTGATAGTTTCATCAGGCCAAGGGAATAGTTTGGTCGGGTTTTTAGAGCCAACCAGCAAGATCACTTTTGATCAGCACACTAGATCAGTGCTGAAGGTCAGTTAAGCTGTTTTGTCCCTCAATGCGGACACTTCGTTATTACGGTCTAGAGGAGTATGAATCATTTGAATCGGGTTCGGGGTTCTTGATCTTCCCATAATGGATGAAGCAGATGGAACACTTTTGGGCTTGTTGAGTGCTGTCTGTTTGATTTTTAATTGAGGATGATGTATAAACAACAGAACAAGCCGTTTTCCTTGACGAAACATCCTACTCGTAAGGTTGCTGAGAGCTCTCCGACAACCATCCAACAGCATCACCATTCGTGTGGGGCATCGAGAAACCTCAGGCCAATGGTCTCCATGAGCTCTACGTTATACTTGATCTCATGGTTTACACAGTGTATGGACTACACTCGTTCGCAAAATACTTTGGTTTTAAGGAGATGCACGACCGAATACCATCTTAGACTCACGTTAAACACTCCTCAACTAAAAGTGCTGCAAAAAGACCACCCTATGTTTCAGTTGACACAACATTCTATGTATCACAATACATTATCAAGAGGTACCACACTACTCACAGAGTCGCTGAAAGCTCTTCCACAACCTGTGTCTTTGTTTTTGAGATTTTTCAGACAGGAGCAGTCCCTAAGATTCAGTTGAACCTACGAGAAGCATTCTCCAAGGAAATATACTGTGATGTCTCGGATATTAAAACCACTGAAGCATTAAAACCACTGGCCTTTGTGCACCATGCTCAGATGAAGACAGTTAGCTGGATTCGGTTGATTATCTTACTAAAGCCGAAAAACGGGTATATCTCATGAAACTCGATTATTTTTCTGAATTGTCGAACATTTACCGTGCCTGATAAAGTGACACAATATAATGCGATCTTATCGGATACGCTTGAAAATCACCCTTCTGTTTAAGACAGTTTCCGTGTTTTCCGGTGTCCTCATAGCGAATCATATGCCAATTTTCTTAAATAACTCTACACGGACGGAAGTATGCAATTCCATCAACTCACCAATATCTCTTTCTTACTTACATATAGTAGCTAGACGATTGAGTGAGGCAGGGTAGCATCGATCCTACTCGACCCATCGGGAGAGTGGAAAGCCTACCATGGGGTGTGGCTTCGGAAGCCGTTACAGGACATCTCAAAGAGAGGTTCTTCTCTGAATAAGACCCTCGTAAGGAATAATTTTCTCACATCCCCTCTACCCTCTTTAGTCTTCAACGCAAAACACATATATGGGTGACAGGCATGGCAAGGACACTGAAGAAGACCTTGTAGCGGACTAGAACCTTATCAGCGTGTTCGGATAAATTAACAAGCAAAAGTAACCAGTACAAAACCACAAAATCACAATAGGAAAGGAATGAGTAGTCAAATGGGGACTCACGAATGTATAGGTCCAATAGTCCACTACACCGATCCAAATGCAGTAATTGGCTGTGAAAGGAAATGTTCACTTGTCGAAATTTCCCACAGATGGTTCCGCCTGAGTGATATATTCCACGGTAGGAAAATTATTCACGGCCAAAAAATGCCACAGGGATTTATTGTGATGTTCGACAGTTGACACAAACACAGAGATTTAGTCCCACTGGTTCAGCAGTCAACAAACAGTTCAACGGAGCGTAAATACACTCGTTCAGCAAGAAGTCAGCAAGTCGCACCGGAAAGTTGTGTATTCGTAACATTAAAACAAACGTCATGATACAATGTGAACGACAATTACAAAGTGTGGTTTAAGTTCAGGAAGAATGGTAAATGTGACAACGGATTACAGACACTACACACTTTTGAGACATTCAGAGGTAAGTCCGAAAGTAGGTAGGTGGTGTGAGTCAACAAATCTAGAGTTATCAAAACCGGCTATCTAAATCTTATCGACTTTCTGAGTATTCGGCTACGTATCAAACCGGTAGAGCACTTACTAGGGTCGCTTGTATGACTTGTGGTTATAAGACCTCTTGCAAATGATTACGCTTGTTTCTGGGTTGTTTCCTGACGCTGTTGCCGTTTATGCATCTGGCAGTTAGTGTTGAAAGAGCAGTCCGTCTGGTTGCCGTGACATGGAAAGCAAGTAGTCAGTTTCTCAGTACCTGCTGGTTTGACATGCACAGGACTGTGGGCAGGTGGTCCACTTCTTTCCAGTGTAGCCTAATTTGAATATCACCTGTAAAGACACATCCTTTTGTCAAAAGGTACTCCTCAGGGTCCTGCGCTTTTGTTTTTTGCCGTTCTTCAATAAGGAAATCTCCCTATCTTGAGCCGCAGATGGTTCTTGTCTGCGAAAAAGAGGAAATAATGACCAAGGCAAATTATACAGATTCTTTTGTTGTCCATTCTTGTTTAGAGGAGAAGTCTGAGAGGAATTCATCTATTATTCCACGCCGTTTCTTAAGATACCGATCAGTCAGAGTGAATTTTATTAGGCATAGAAAAGAGACAAGTTGAGGTGTTTCATGAGGAGGACTCAGAATAAAACAATTCTCCAGCCGATGGTCGCATATCCGTACCATACAAACGGTTTGCCACGACTGAGCAGCATTCACACAGCTCTCGACCACACATCGACCCAAATACTTGAGTCAAACACACATATATGACGTGAAATTTAATCTGTCTAAATGTGACTGGATGGGCTTGCACTTTTTAATACCCGATCGCGGTGCTCCTATGCATAAAAAAGCAGTGATTACGCAATCTCCGGAACGCTGCCTGGGTAGCCCACCTTCCAGTACACCCAGTGAGGAAAATTTTGCGCGTTTCAGTGACACCATTCTAGAAGAACTTTTGTGTAAACTCCCCACAGAATATTAACTGTAAAGCCCTTTAGATTGCCATATGCTTACTGCTATACTGGATGGTATGCGCTGATGCACATTGTCAAAGGTTCGAGGCGTATTTGTGACAGAAGCCGCTAATTCCTTGCTTCAATTTTGTGGCCGACACTTGGCGAAAAAAACGGTTAGGAGACATGTCACATTGATAGTTAGACAATTAACTGATTCCAGTCATTGCTGGGAAGAAAGTTTGCGCGTTCTTGAGACCTGTATTAATTTTTGTTCGCAGTTAATGTATCTTGCAACACGTGACTACTACGAGCTTAATCTAACCTAGCCGTGGTTAGCTGACTTGATTTTTGATTTGGTCGCCGGAACGTTTATTGTGTTTCCATGCTTTCAGCACACATGAATTAAAGCTGAGCAAAAATCTCCTAGCGAATAAGTTACCGGTGCTCAATACATGATCCTCAGCAGAGTCCAAAGGCCATGTATTTATCCTTTGGCGAGACATGGCTCGCCTTTCGTGTAATGTGCTGCCTGACTTGTATTGGTCATACCGGAAGCCATAGAATTTCGTTCGTTCAACGATATTGTGGTACATATCAGTATGAATTCACTGATCAATCTCCTGAAACTTCGATTGTAGTATGAAGTTACTTAATAAGTTTCAACTGAGATTTCGTTCTTTCAGTGAAACTACTCTGTACTGAAAAGCCGGGGAGCATTGTACATCTGTTTCATCCTTAGCATCAGCCGTAGGCACCTCATCGAAATGGAGGGAGTTTCGAGCGTAAAATCTACGGGCTACTGGTTCGAGCACTCAACCAGTCGGCTAAGAGCGGCTGGTGAGCAGTGTAATTAACTCGCACTTACGATACAGCATCAGTCAAGGAAACCGCATCTCATGGTCACGTACTGACCGATTCCTCGAGCGACGGCTTCTCAGATGAAACCTTAAATAGGCTGGTGAAATCAAACCTTCACTGAATCGTCAATAGAATGTTGGTGTTGTGAAGAGGTTTGATCATTTTTAACTGGGGTTTTGTCTCAAAAATGGAGCCTCTTAGAGAGGAATTACGATACACGAGCCTTTGCCCTTTACCATAGGATTGTAAACGTAGTACGGTTTTCCTTCTAGGTGAAAATCGCTTTCGTGTAGTATTGGAGGCGAGGATGCCGCCTAACAGGGACATAACGATCAGAATCACGTCCGCTGGCCTATGAGTTTTGCTACTAGTTCCCGATGCACGTTCTCTCACTGACTTACAGGTCAGTTCAGCGGGAAACGGGAAGCTTACAGCTTAACCAAACCCGCTCTTCGACCTGCGCACGTGGAAGTACCATCCGCAAAATCACGTAGGAACAGCATGTATTCCCTTCTATTTATCAATTTCGAGTTTGACCGCTCCCTGTGCCATTGTAGCACCATTCGTTTGCTAATCTTAAAACTCTGCGTGCATTCCTATATCCTGCCTCGGTGAGAAAAACTTTAAAAAACAAATATGCGCTACCAACGTCAAGTAAGTTTTTCATTGCGTCGGTTTTTAACATATTCTTGTATGTCACATAGGACCATCATTCGACTGTCTCTAGGAAACATAAACGGTCCCTCACTAAAGTTATTCATCTCACCACGACCCACCACAGTTCAGCGTCTTTATTTGTCATCCTACGATCGTTAGGTGGCCCGGAAGTGGTGTACGGTGGCTTCATTGGTGTGGGTATAGCGCCAGGCATGAGGTTGCAAGACAACGGGCTTAGCTGGATTCCTGTTAACAGATGGTTGTTTACACTGACGCTGCTCAGGCCTGTCAGAATCCTCAGACGATGACCACACACCCTAAACATTTGTTTATGGCCAGCACAGACTTTTAACACAAAAGTAAGCATCGTGTTGTTCGGTATTATTTCATTTCGGATCACACAACGAGTGATATCTCTTACCAGGCAACAGGATTCAGCAACACGACGTTTACGACGACCCACAGGATCAATGCGAATCCGGATACAAGGTGGCTGTGAAAGACCCGATAAATGGTAAAACGGGACAGAAATTGAGAAAAATTGAAACCCATTTAAGAATGTCCGTAATATTCGTTCACAAAGCTTTCCAATCAGTGAACAGAACTAGGGATCTGAAGTACATTCTAAGTCCCTTCACCAGTTTCGGTGAGCAGAAAACTTGGAAAAATCGTTTAGCTGTCCTAACGTGCACAGCTCAAAAGTCAGCTAAGAATATATTAAATCAAAAGCAAAATAAGCCCCAGTAGAAGAATGAAGCACTTGATCCTGACTGTTTTCTGTCTGCTTGTCCACGAATGACGGGAAAGAGGTCTACTACCACACGAAGCTGGAGCATAACACCTGGAGGGTGACAGACATCTCAAAAGGACAACATCCTCCTTAAAAATGTGCAAAATGTGTGTAGGATCCCGGTGATCCTGGATCCGACAGGACAGTATTGGATTATAAGCAGTTGCTATTCTTTCGACATCGGAATATGGGAATGGACGAAAGGAAGCAGTAGAGATTGTATGGACAATTAGTACTGTGAACAAGTCTATCGATAATTTCATAGTATGACTTAACCGCAGCATTCATTCAACGATAAAGTCGACGGTAGAGCAAAACCGACGGACCATGGCAGCCAACCAGTAATGCAGACATTTCATGTAATAAGTGTCTCACTGAACGACATGGTTTTCTTTGATCTCCGGAATCTCAGTTCCGTTCCTCAGCCATGCTGTTTCTGTCAAGAGTCAGGTAATCAAAAACAAACAAGATTCATACGATTACGTATGTGCATGATAAAGTTACCATCGCTTCCGAGGTACTAATAAGTATCGTTCTACGAAGGACCAGCAGCATTCGTGAAAGGAGCCTCATTAAAATCGATTAAGAATCCACTTAGACCCCGGACGTCTTGACCAAACCTTTACTTCTCTCCACAGATGAAAGATCATACAAAATGGTCGTAGATCCAAAAGCAGTGTATTCCAGATATCCACTTACGCTATCTTGTTCTCTATAATTAAACGACCTTCAGTGTGTGAGCTCCTACCAAGATTATACTCCTGGAGTGGTCACTAAGAGCCGCACCTGACCTGGCCTTTCCTCTTCAACTTCGCAGTCGAATCGATAATCTCGGAAACCTCTGCTGTTTTCGGTCATCAGGATAGCCCCTTTTCCCTGGGGATATTTCAAAACCTAGAGTATTCAGAGAATATTGTGCTATTGGTTCAGATACACAAAAAAGTTAGAGAGTGTTATCATGCAAGCTGGCATGCGCTTTGTGTTTCTCCCATACAAGGTGACGAAACAACTGTATGACCAAAGATATCCATGGACTCAAAAGAACTCAGGATTACTGCCAGATTTACCTATGGCATTGTTTCATCACCCCGGCCAAACGCATTCCTGGCAAAATAAATGTTATAGTCACTGAAGATTGTACACTCTCCTTCAATGTAGACACCCTGTTATATCCGCTGATTCGCCAATCTGACTCCCCTTCTGCTGCTGATCCGCTCCAAAAAAGACTCACAAAAGGGATCACAGCAGCTGTATTCCGAACAAGCTAGTTCGAGAGCGTGAGTGCGTGCGTGTGCGAAAATACAACGGTCTCAAGCTATTTATTGGAGAGACACTGAACCTGGTTCAGTGCTGACGCACGCGGTCTTGCTTTGGTACGAGGCTGTGACGCGCTGTGTATTGCGGGAGCGTTGTCTGACCTTGATCAACGCTGACTCTCGCTGTCTGGGTTGGATACAAGGCCGTGACGCGCAGCATATTGAGGGGGCGTTGCTAGTCTAGTCATCATCTAGCGGAGCTGACGGTATCAGTAGATTTCGGGCATTCAGTGGTTGCTTTCAGGAATCTGGCCTTCCTGATACACCCTGATACGCCTTCTGGGTCAGGTACTCTGTATGTCACATGATCGAATGCATCGTCGTACGCCGGTTGCTGAGAATGCGGTTTTGCTGGAAAATCAGACAATATAGTTTACACGTGACTTTGGGAACTTAACATAACTTTAGAGCTAAAATTATGCCTGTCCTGGTCGAAAGCGGGACATCCGAGATTTATCACTCTAATGAGCAATGTCATACAACCAGGAGCTCCGGTAGCCCTAATTGTTGACCCCGGATTCTCTTGCGCTTAATGGAAATTTAGTCCTGTATGTAAAGGCGATCTATGCTACAAATATGAGGCACTGTACAGCTGTTTCATCCTTATGTGGATTCATCAGCAATGCTCATCACACGAAACTCCAGATAATATCGAACACGTAACCACCTGGCCAGTAGTTCGAACACCTAACAAAGCAGCAGTTCAGCAGTGGGATTAGCCCGCAATGAGACAGCCTCGCTCATCAGCTGAATTTCATTTTTATTCTAAGCTACTTATAGATTGTTGGTAGTGTGAGAGATTTTGGGATACAAAATTATTTTGACATGGTGAGCTATAAGACTACTTGAAAGAGCCCATGCACTTGGACGTGCCTGCCAGTGGTTCACATTAGCTTGAAACTGTTAAAACAGAATAATCTCACAAATACAGCATTCTCTTAGGCGGAAATTCCGTTAAATCTCTGATGGAATGCCACAGTCACTAAGCATATCCTTCTGAACATCTTATTTCCGTGAATGCGGAAGCCCTCAAAACTAATAGACAAATTATTTTCTGTTCTTTCTTTCCTGTGCCCTGTTTGGAAATCAAGAGTTGTTCAAGGTTTGAGGAAAATACCAGGGGATCTGTTAGCACTCTATATTCTTTATTTTTCACGGATTCTTTGACTTGTATTCCACTTTCGTTCTTACCCAAATTTGTTTAGGCTACTTTGCGATGGTGCAGGGATGAACTTTGCTGTTTCTTACAAGGACGTGGTGTTCACAAAAATATTGATGCATTTCTGAATAATTCATCAACTTGGTAGGAATACTTTTTGTCATTGGATTTCTAGTTAGTTCCTGGATTAATGTGGCTGTGAAGTCCAAAAATCCGTCAACAACTTATCAAAATATTATACACCGGGTTTNGAGTTCAGTCCCTAGTGAGGCCACATCTGTACCGAAGGACTCTAGTAACAGCGAAACTCGAGTTTCGTGTTTCCCCTTTTTCTTAAGGATTTGCCAAATTCATTACACCAAAGTGGGAGGTGAACGTTTCAGAAGCAAAAAATGCAAACGAAAGACCCTAAAGTATCGAATGTTGGATACCTGACCGCTTGCAGTGGGGGAAAATTTAATGATTCAGTAAATCAAACGGGAGTCATATGTTCGGACTGAGAATTTTGATTACTTGTGGATAAAATCTTCATGTGCGCGCTGGATGGACTGTCTGTTAGTAACTGGTTTCTGCTGAATTATCCACGTCCTAGCATGTTGCGTGAACCAAGCATGTCACGCATCTACCGCAACGTGGGTTGAAAGAAACGAGGCAGGAAATAAAATTTAGCATCACGTGTACGTTTTGATTCCGTATCATAGAAGAATACAAGCTCCTCGCACAACTCCGTGACCATCAGCTGTCCATAGGAATGTGACTAGACGTTGAGAACCTGCTACATCAAAATATAGTCAAATCACATGAACTTGAAATTAGCGTACTGGCCGGAGGCGGTATAGTTTGCAATCGGGAACAAACGGCACCAACAGCCGAAATTCAACTTGTGTCCGCTTCCCTATTTCTTTTGCAGTTAGGTGCATCTCTGATATTCGCGCATCAATGACCGAGGCAAATCGGACCAACGTATAAGGATCAGAAAAACTGGAAGCAATGATGTAAGTTAAGTTAAGTTCGGTCAGTGTATTGCGATATATTGAATATCGTGCTGACTGAAATATGAGGTGGCACGGCGTAACAAATTCGGTTGAAATGATCTATGCTAAATGAGAGATTCAGTTGGATTGAGTTGAGTCTCCTGTCCAATATGGGTTCGAGTAGGACACAAAGCTGAAGAAACCAGGAGACTTGGTCTACCTGATTAGCTCCAAGAAGGGCAAAACTGGTCGTTGGATTTTGGAGAGTTTTCAGCAATCTTTCCAGTAGTTTGGCTGAAGAAACAGGAGACTTGGTCTACCTGATTAGCTCCAAGAAGGGCAAAACTGGTCGTTGGATTTTGGAGAGTTTTCAGCAATCTTTCCAGTAGTTTGTTACGTTCAGGAAATGGGTGGTGGCTAGCTTTCCACTGAAACGTGATACTTTATATTTTGTGCAGATCGTGCCGTTGACGTCGTCCATTCTTAGTCAGTACACGTTAGACTTATTTTGCTGGTGCACCGGCATAAATTGTAATGGCTAGAGTTGCTATAAGTGAACAAAAATTTCGAATATCCCTAAAATGAACCACGCAGGAAGTGACCTAAAACTGTTTCAGATACCTACAAACATTTGGAGTATTTTTAGTCAGAATGTTGATAAGCTGAGAGTGGGCGATCCCTGTCAGCTGCTCTTCCACACAGAAACAGCCTCTGTGGGAAGATTATCTGCCTATCTTCGGTAGGTGATCCTTTGTCACGGAACAACTGAACTTGGCACCACAAATGCCTTAGCAATGCAGTCAGTTGTTGGATCGTAGAAATGGTTAACGGGTTGCGTCTTCAGTGAACACGGTCAATCGAATTTGACCTACTGTAAATACCTATGCGTTGTTCATCACCGGTGGTTGCTAGCCATGTTCCCCTAGTCTTAACGAATTCGGTGAAAAACCCTCCGAACACACTTATGGAGCATTGTCATTGTTGAACCGTATACATTTTTAGGTGAACAGTCATGCGAACAGTTTGAGGATGTTCCGATCCTCCAGGTTTCCACGAAACGATGTTTTGATTGTGAACCGACAGATCTAGACTCGTGTTTTGTATTACTCAGGCTATCTTATTATCTATCCTGGTGAATACGGTTGTCGATGTTTTGATTGGAACTGACAGATCTAAACTCGTGTTTTGTATTACTCAGGCTATATTATTATCTATCCTGGTGAATACGGTTGACGATCCTTTAGACGCCATTCACAAAATGTTGCCAGGGTTAGTTTGAGACAAGCCAACCTGAATGCAATCTACCTCCAACACTACTCCAGTTGCGGAAAGCATGCCTAGACAATTTACTAATGAACAAACCTCCGGTTGGAGTTTTATTGATTTCTCACATTTATCATACTTTACTTCGATTTACGAAGGCCTTTTGTATACAAGGTATTGTGATAGTCCCCGTAAATGGGAACCACATCATTATTTGTGACCCTAGGTGCGACGCATCAGAGCAAAGCCAGCTTCAAGCAGAAACCTAGTTCCTTTTACCCCTGATGAGTTATACTCTGTGTTTACTGCGCATCGGAGCGGCCTACACTTGAGGTACCAGGAAGTTTGTCAGTCTACTTGCAAAAGGGTAGCTTCCTACTTTCTAGTACCTTTAAAATTTGATTGTATGAAAAAATACGCAAAATTGAGTTAAAAAAGCATAATATTTAATCGGATGGATGATGCTGACTTCCTAACTTCAGTCGTCTAGGTAGTAGCTGGGCTTAGGACAAAACAGTGTGAATAAAAACCATTTTAGGTGTTGGTGGTTGCGGGGTTTTGTAGGAAACATACTTGCAGGACTCTTTTTTGAGCAACTGTCCTCCCCTCCCGGTGCAATCATTCCGGTGAGCCCACACCAAAGGTGGAAAGAACCGGACTTGAGTTACGCTCTCATTAGACCTCATCATAATTGCCCTCACAAAATCCCGCAACCGCCAACATGTGGAACAAAAAGCGTCCAGCAGGAGTTACGCTCTCATTAGACCTCATCATCAGTGCCCTTACAAAATCCCGCAACCATCAACATGTGGAACAAAAAGCGTCCAGCAGGTTTCCAGCGTCTGTGGCGCTAACTTGTTGGGAAGTGCTGACCAGCAGGCCAATCGATCAACACTTGGTCGTCATTCGAGAAGTCGGGCTTCCGTTCACACACTCAAGCTCTAACATGCTAATTTGTTCAGACGTCTCCTGTTCAGATACGTCCAGCATGCGCTGGTGGTGTAGTGGCAACGCACTTGTGTGCAGAGTTCAAACCTCTGCGGAGATGTGCACCAATGAGAGGGAAACTCGAGCCCAGTGCTTGGCTTTTGGTGTGGATTCACCAGAAAAGCTGTTTTGCTAACGTTCTTTTCAGAGGTACCAGTAAATATTCTTCGAAGAACATACATTCACATTCAGATGGGGTTGTTCGTTCGGGTAATAAAAAACCGTGGTATACGCCGGAGAAGACAACGAAAAATTTACCACTTTTTCATTACTCTGGACTGTCCACAGGGACAAACATGGAGCGTCACATGAGAGGAAAATTGGTGAGTTATTTCCAAGATTCGAACTCTCATTGGGTGGATGCGGAATTCGTTGGGCCGTTTAATTGTTATCAAGGTCACTGGTCTTTCAGTTAAATCACTTACCAACTAACCTGAAAGTGAAGAAAAGCGTTTGTAGGTGTGTCACTGTGTATTTTCCGCGCCATAGATGGGTGAAGACAACGGGGCGGTTTGAAAATGCGTGGGCCGAATAGCAACGTACATCCCAGAAACTAAATGGTCGGGCTAACACTCATGGAATATGAGGAGCGAGAGGTAAATATTGAAGCTAAATAAAACCATAATAATAAAATGGGAAGATGTCTTTTTCTTGCTGGTGAAGTTTTCAACAAACGTGTGATTAAGGACTCACGAATAAATTGAGAAGAGGGCAATAGTTGTGGAAAAATGACAGGTGAATATTAGAAAAAGAGGGTAACTTTCCATTCGATGGCTTACAATCTATGGTTTTTCTGTCAGACGAAATAACCTACAAGGTATGTGAGGATGTTTGACATGGCAACACGCAACTGTAAAGAGCAGAAACTGAAGAGGAGACAAACAATGCTCAATGCCTTTCAAGGCACCATAATCACTTATTCGGTCAGGAGTCGCTGGCCAGGTGCAAAGTTTCCATCGCCCAAGGTCAATGGTAAGTTGAGTTGTCAGCGTTGTGAGGTTTATCGCTATCATGTCTCGTAACGCGTTATCAGATCCGGTATAAAAATATCAGATCTGGGTCACGTCATTTCTGGGACACTCCATATTGAGCTGTTACTCTGGGAGGTTATAAACATCAGAACTGATTAGCAAAGCAGACAATTGGTATCATTCTTGTTTGGCAGCGCCGTGTGCAAACATGAAGAACCTGTTATGAATAAGAAGTCGGAGAAGGTGAAAATATTAAGGGGATCGCGCTTTCTGTCTCTTAAGTCGTGAAGTTGTCCAGCGATAAGTAAATATTCTTAAACCTAAATAATGGACACTGATTATCAATGCTTACGACAGGCTGAAAGAGTCTGATTATCTTGAACAAAATTACTGACAAGGTTGCCGAAAACTCTTCGACAACAGCCTTCAATAATCTTGTGAGTAGATTTATTGAAGAATATATACCACGACATCTCGAATATCGTGCCAACTGAAACAGGAGGCAACTTTTGTGCAGCAAATTCAGTTGAAGAATACCATAAATGTGAGATTCAGCTGGGATTCAGTTGAGTCAAAGTAGAAACCAAAGTGGTGGGCGAATGAGTGGATTTCACGAATGTGATTATGTCTAAAATCAAGTTTCTGATGTCTGTGTAGTGTATTACTCATAAGGTTGCTGAAAATCCGTCGACAGCCCAGGACCGGTTTCGCCCTTTTTCGGGGCTCATCAGGCAAGCGCAGTCCACGGGTTTCCGTTCTACTTGAAGCCACATTACACGAAATTAGCGAATATACCCTCATTCGCAAGCTAAGTTGGTTTATTGATGAGCCCCAAAAAGGACGAAACCGGCTGTCGACGGATTTTCTGCAACCTTATGAGTAGTACATTACAAAGACATGCATGTATTGCGATATCTCGAATATCGTCGCGACTGAAACATGAGGCGACCTGGTGCAGCACATTCAGTTGCTTGAAAACATTACAAACGAGAGATTCAGCTGGGTTTCAGGTGAGTCTCTCGCTAAACCAAATTAGTTTCCGAATGCGAGTTTCTGATGGTTTGTTCGACTTGACTAGGTAACTGTACCTAAACACGATCACCGTTAACTCTGGCCACGTTTGGGTGCAGAGTAAACTTATGGCCAAGGTCAGACAACATGGTTACAAACGTATCATGTTTTTTCAGCGATGCCAACGTGTAGTCTGTTGTGTCGCTTTGGTTTAATAACCGATTTTTGATCCTGGATATGGTCTGTTTTCTGGACCATTTTCAAGGTCATCAAGTGGAATGGGGTTTGTCTCACTGAAGAAACAGCTAAGACGATGTGTGAATAGTCAATGAGATTGCACATGAATTCGCTCGGTAAGAGGACGCGATCTGGTTCCTGAATGAATCAAATTACGGGCTGCTTGATGCAAAGTTGATTGATAAAATACAGCCTTCTGTGAGTTGAATTATTTTCATTTGAAAGGCGACCACTCTCGCTATTCCGGTGGATCTAAATGTGTGGTTGGTGTCACGGCGTGATAAGGCAGATTCCATCAGGGACAACGTTCAACTTTTCGTAAGAGGGAGATGAATGAACTCACTAACGATGGATAGTGGTACGGACGTCGCTGGAATCGAGTCGAATTTGACTCTTGATGACCACGTTGCCTTATCGCAAGTCGAACTGAACGACTTCCACGATGGATTAACCAAAAAGCATGCCGCTGCAGAATGCGTAGAAATCACCTTACAAACTTGGTCAGTCTTGGAAAACTGAACGACGGTAATGAACGACTTCCACGATGGATTACCCAAAAAGCATGCCGCTGCAGAATGCGTAGAAATCACCTTACAAACTTGGTCAGTCTTGGACCGTCGACGGTACTCATCTCGTCCCCAATTTCATTTTACTGGTGAGAGAAAATTCTAATTCGACTGTATCCCTGGAGAAACTGAACCTCTTCCTGACGAAACGTTTATTCCTGGTAATTTGATTACACCACCTTCTAACTATGTTGCTGCAATTTGCTGTCGTCGTAACATCAAAGAATCAGTGTATTATCCTCGGTGGATCATGTGTTAATGCATGTTTCCAATGAGAAAAATCCCATTGTTCTAACCCCAGCTCAGTGCACAGAGGTGTCTGCCAGGGGGCAGTACTGTCGTATAAGTTTTATCTGTCTAATGTTTGGTAGACACAAGCTTCTTTCTGAGGGCAAACTTGCTATCCAGGTTTGTTAAACTGGGCAAGATGTACCTAGCGGACTACCAACTTGTCTAAACAGTGAGTAATCGAGAAAAACTCAGCATTTGATTTAATGGAACTAAACAGTCCTGGTAGATCATGAGTACATTTCCAGGGGTATACTCTGGGATAAAGCTCATTGATTCTTTCCGACAGATGGTGAACGTGCGACACTGCTTATTTCATCGTAATCTTAGACTCTCCTCATAACCCTAGTCTCTGGGGCTATTGATCAAACTTAGATACCAAGAAAACTCCTCAATTCGCGTATGCCTAAAAATGGAATGTCTTTCTGGAATGCACAAAACCCTCTTCGCGAACTACTCTCCTTTGCACACTAATCGAGTTTTAACATGTGACTCAAATGAATCTCAGTTAATATCCAAGAAGAACGTCTTCTTTTACCGTCCTTTAGAAGCAGCACTAGCTCCATCATCTAGGATCCAGTGTCTCAGTCAATACTTCGAGGCAGATTTTTCCTTCTTGCTGTTAGGAAGACGGCGAAAAAGTTTTGTGATTCACTGTCAGGATGCCTTTCCTTTGCAACTTCTTGTCTATTCACAAAGCCATCCTAATCTAAGCTCCAGTTGAGTGTTCCAGTTGAGTGACACACCAAGAGGGAAAAAACTACGAAGGAAACAGGCAGTTGGATCTTCACTTCCTACTATGTATTTCAGACGGATGGTACAACAGATCCTGATCAATGCATAATGCTCTCCGGAGCTGGGGCTTTCTATATACATCCCGGTCAAGTATCTTAAACCACACATCCTATAGGTTCCTCTCGTTTCAACTTGAGAGTTACGGTCGCTC